CAGGATATTGCTGCCCACAATCTTGTAACGTAAGATCTGTTTTATTAATTTCATTACATGTACTCTCAAGATCATTGGTAGCTTTCTTGATGTTAGAGTTAATTTCTTCAAGTTCGGTTTCATTTGTTAAAGTCGATTCCTGATTGTTTTCAAATGACACTTCGGTCATAAAAGTAGTTGTAACATCATTTCTTGATTCTTTCAATGTTCCAACATTATTGTTAATTTGATTCTGTGAAGCGCTTTGTTGCAACTCTTCATGATCATTAATATTAAATATTGAATTAGCTTTTGTGTCTGAAGAGGTCGAAACAGATGTGGCATTCTTCTTCTTAAGCATTTCCATTTTGCTGGCTATCAATTCATTCATTCGTCTAATTTCCATTTCCTTCTCTTTCAGCTTTTGTTTTGCATTGATTTGCATTTCTTCACTATCTTTGTACGCTGTCTTTGTTTGCTGAGCAAGGTCAGATACAGGCTGTTCTCCATCTGATTCATCACTAAGATCGATAATAAAATTATTGACCTGTTTAGACGAGAAAGGCTTTGTCGTGTTCGCTCGATTCTGCGATGATGAGTGGTTGATCAACGCGATTGATGACATTTGTGATATAGTGTTATTTAGTTCGACGGCTTTATTCTTGCCTTTACTTGGTATAGATACATGAGAACCCTGTGGTGGCACATCTTCGGTGCACACATCACACTCCATCCCGAGAGATGATTGTTCATCTATGTTCGTTGTGGCCAATATTGGTGGAGTCGCGCCTGTTGATGTAGTATTCATGAAATGAGGAGACATTGATGATGCTTGAAGGCTTTGTTCGGTTGCCTTGGTATCGATTGATGATGCCATCATCTGATGAGTCGCATTATTATTAGACATTATATTTGTGTCAGTTGGAATGATGAGTCCTAGAGCAGGTGTTTCCCATTGAGGGTTTGTGGATAATGCTGTTTGTTGGGAATTTTGCAGGACCAACAATGCGGGTGTCTGTTGGATGTTCAACATATTCTGAACGTTCTGACTTGATGACGGACTTGAGCTTGATATATTTGAATATTGACCTTGAAATAAAGCAGAAATCTGATCTTGCTGTGATCCGGAAAACATGATCGATGAACTGGACTGCACTGGCAATGTGGAATCAGCAGCAAACATCATATTAGGTTGGTCACGTACAACCGAATTCACAGGTGCTAAAAATTGAGCATTAGGCGCTAACGGCTGCAGAGAAGGAATATTTTGAATTAATGGAGTATTCTGTACATTTGTACTATTCGGAAAGATCTGTGTAGAAAAGGTGTTCTGTCCGAAGACAGGATTTTGACTACTTGATAGCATAAAAGATGACGTGCCAGCTTCCGAAAGAATTTGTTGTGTTTGTATGAGATCTTTGGGCAATTCGATATTTAACTCATTTGAGAACCTGATGATTACATCGAGGGGTACGCCAATAGCATATATATCAATCGCTGAAGCTCCCATGCTATAGAGTTCCTTAATAAGCTCACGGGTAGTCGATTCTTGCGCCTCACGATCTAGTATTTCTGAATTTAAGTAAGGCTCTCCACTTGAATCTAGAAAAATAGAAATATTTGTATATTTATGAAATTCGTAATAGTTTGTAATCCCATCAGCGAACATGGCAGAAAAGATCATTAGATTTTTGTTTTATGTAGAAGTAACTTCAACATTATTTCATAATCGATAAATTGCACGATAGGACATAAAAGTTATTACCCAGTATAATCACACCGTAGTAATTCTGCTTTGGGTGACATATAATTAACGTAAAAATTGTTCTCATTTGCA